AGGCCAGCAGAAGGAGCAGTTAGAGGTGACCAGGCAGGCAGGCAGGTGAGCAATTAGGAGCCAGCGGTCCAGGATCGTGAGAGGGAAGTCCCCCAAGGGTTCCCGGATTAGAGAGGGTGCAATCTGGGCTGAGTGGACCCATGCCCCCAAGCACGAATTTCGTGCACTGGGCCTCTAGTCTTCTATAAACTGCTCTAGGTTTTCAAAGCTCTTGATGATAAATTTGAGGTTCCACCTATGCAACCTGAAGGACAGCAGGATGTTCCGCAACTTTAAAAATAATCTGAAAGTGAAACTGTAAAATATAAAAACTATTTTCTCACTGGTGTAAGTTGATAAATGCATGTTTATCCTTGAGCCCTGCCCTGGCCCATGGTAAAGTCTCATCATTCCTTGGTGTGTCTGACTTATAGGTCAATATGCAGCTGCCCGATCTCAATCCACACCTTTGTAACAGCCATGCTGTTCCCTTTGCTTAGAGTGTCCTTTGCAAACTTAATTTCCCTAATGGGCCTACTTTTAGTCATTTTTCAATAGAAATTCAAGTGGGACCCTTTCTATCTACTCTTGTCCAAGCTCCCTCCTGTGTATTTCTCCACCATAGGACTATGCTGAACTGTTGACCTAGAGGCCCTGCACTAGCTGTACCTTTGATCACATAGTTCCTGCCAAGAACCAGAGCGTAATAAAAGCTGTTGCCTCAATAGTTGCACACACAGAGTTATAGTAAGGGGAGGGATACAGTTTATCCTGATTATTCTCTAAAGTATCGAGTTTTTCTAGTGAGGAGGAAGGTGTTTATTTCAGAAACATATCCTATAACGTTCTGCTTGAATTAGCAATACTAAACAGTAACCTGGCCCACTCTGTGGACACTGCTATCCACATGTGTACAACCTGTGGGTTGTTGCCCTAGAAGAACTTGCTCTGCATGCATGCTCTATGAAGTCATGGGGTAGAGTGGCCCTTCTTTTGTCTCCATGACAGTCACACCTCAAACTCTGGTCACCAAAGGCCTTTCTTGCTCATCACCCAACTTCTTGTAAGGATCACCCTTCCTGCCCAGCTTTCAGATGCCAGTGTGATGGCTTTCCTTTTTTTTTCTTATTCTTAACGCTATCTGATAATCTCCGATAATTTCCTGGCTTGCATAAACTCAGTCCTGCCTTAAATTTGGCTCACTGTGCTGCCAGAGCTGTGTGGTAAGGAGGCTGCCCCCTGGCTTCTGCCCCAGGGTTGATCCCACACACAACCTACACTGGGCCAACGGGTTCTGTGTGCCTTTCCCCCTGTCCTTCATTTAATGGAAGGCTCCTGCTGCTGTAACCAGAAGTTGAGAAGGTTCATAGAATATGAGCGTTCCTCTGTAGTATTAGTGGATCGTACTGCTGTCTTTGGATACAGAAAGACCTATGCTTATTGCGTCTGTACCTTTGTTTTTTCCCAAATACAATAAGAGAAGCTAAGAAATAGTATTTCAAGCTACTCTGGTCT